TGCTGTTTGACCTAAACTAATCATTTTTATATTTTTCTCGTAAAAAAACCTTACCCTCAACATAACCAAACACCCACTTGATATAAATGTTTAATTAATTTTAAAGACATTTACAAAGTTTCATGCCGCGGTAAGTAAGTGGCGCTGAAAGACATTGAATGGTAGATATCTGTACCACTACGCCTTGATTTCACGGGCAACAAGATGCTCCAAAACAATTATTTATGAAAAAGTTTTTGACCAAAGGGCTTCTAGCCTAGCGGTATCAGGTGGTGCCCTCCCTCATTGAGGTCGAGGGTTCAAGTCCCGTCGTGGACATAGGTGGAATTAGGTGTTAGTTTAGGTGTAGATTATATATTTGTATTTGCCGGTTCCAAAAAAAAAGTTATTGAATTTTTTTTTCAAAGGAGGATAATTGTTTTCAATTAGAAGCAAACAAAACAAATTATGTATTATTTTGAATGAAAATTTAATTTTCTGTATTTTGGAATAGAAATGTATATATATATATATATATATATATATATATATATATATATATATATATATATATATATATATATATAGTTTTAAATCTTTCAAGTTTTAATATCTATTTTTTTGTTAAATTACATATGGTATCTAAAATCTTACGCCCGGACATGATAATATCTATCCATATCGCTTTTGATTTTTTCGGCAGTTGCTTTGGGGTTGGTCTAATCATCAATGAATCATAATCATACAATGTAATTATTTGGATATTATTAGTTCAAGAATTGATTTTGTGTATTCTTTTTGGATTGTATTTATTAGTTTATGGTTGGCATTATGTCATTCTGACAGAATATAATCGACGAATATATTTACTAGTTTATGATTAACATTCTACCATTCTGATAGAATAAAATCGAATTTCTAATTTTGAATTAATTTAAAATATTCAGATTTTTAAAAATAAAGGAATTAATTATCCCTAAAAATCCGAAATTTTTATTTTTTAATATAGGTTAATTGACTAAAATGCTCTTATGCTGAAATTTGTGTGATTATATGTTATATGTTATCATATTCTACTATCATAAACTCTCAGATCATTATCTTTGATTATATTCCATCCGATTGTCCAGATCTGTGCATTATGGCACACAATAGTTACTAGTAACAAAATAACCTATATATATATATATATATATATATATATATATATATATATATATATATATATATATATATATATATATGGGATTAGGTTATTCTATTCTAACTAATTATTGTGCGGATATTGTATGCTATGAAAATTATTAAGAGAATAAGTTGTTTAGCAATGCGAATACGTTCAACCTTACAAAAATATCGTCATTTTCATGCATTCTTGCTAATTATTATTTATTTTTGTTCTTACACATCGTTTTTCACTCATTTTCATTTTAACATAAATACGACCAATAAACATTCTGACATAAATGAGAATAATAATAATAATAAGTGTATAATAACCTTATAGACGATTTAATTAGTAAAAATGTGTGTTAATGACAATAATTATGTAAGATTGAACGTATTTATATTATCAAACAACATATTTTCTTTATCATTCTCACAACATGTACAATAATTAGTTAGAATACTTAAGTTTTCAAACCATTTTTATTAGAAAATTCTCTACAATAATATAAAATGATACAATGAAATGAGGAATGAAAAGCTTTTCAAACTTAAAAATAGAGAAGAGCCACAGTACCGACCAATTGCCTCATTTTTCCTGATATCACATGCCTGTTTGACCTAAACTAATCATTTTTATATTTTTCATGTAAAAAAAACTTACCCTCGATGCAACCAAACATCCACTTGATATAAATGTTTAATTAGTTTTAAAGACATTTACAAAGTTTCATGCCGCGGTAAGTAAGTGGCGCTTAGGCTGGAGGGTGTGGTGCTACCGAAACCGTACTCTCTTCCCCGCCACATAAGCGTCATGTCATTTTTTACCACTCAAGTGTGGTTTTTTGCCACACCAAGGGAATGGTGCCACACATTCCTTTTTTTGTGTTTTTTTTTAACTATTTTAATTTAATATAACTTTTTTTAAAACTATTTTAATTTAATAAAACTTCTATTTTAATAAAAAAACATAAATTTTCATTACTTGAAAATTAAAAAAAAAAAAAAACATTACATTGCATTACCAAAAAAAAAACACAAAAACCACACACATGACATTTAAATAATCCTAGAACCCCGTAAATGTGTTCCACCAAGTCATTGCGAAGATTGAGAAATGTTTCAGTACAACGTATCTCTGCTCTCTTGTTTATATAGTTTTCGCCACCAATTTCTATTGGTTGTATCTTTGGTATGGTTTCCTCCTCGTCAAACGCACATATCGTTCTTCCTTCGTCTTCAATAATCATATTATGCAATATAAGACATGTATACATGATTTCTTGAAGTTTTTCCTCGCCTAAATAAGCTGCTAGTTTTTTCAATATGAACTACCGTTTCTTCAGAGCTCCAAAAGCACGCTCAACATCCTTCCTAGCTCTTTCTTCAGCTCTCTTGAATTTCTTTCGTCTAGAACCATGTGGAGCTGTAAACGATTTAACAAAAACAACATACTCATGATAGATTCCATCGACCAGATAATAACCATACTTATATGGCGTTCCATACACTTGAAAAGAAGAATATGGTGCGGATCCATCGTATATGCTGTTAAATATTGGTGAACGATTAAGAACGTTGATGTCGTTACGTGAACCAGGAGAACCAAAAAAGCATGCCAAATCCACATATCTTGTGATGCAACTGCAAAGTATGACTGTTGGGTGACCATGATCACCTCGGGTAAATTGCCCATGATATGCTGTAGGGCAATTTTCTCATGCCCAATGGAGACAATCTAAGCTTCCTAGCATTCCAGGAAACCCATGCATACTAGCATGATGAGCTTGCAATTGCAGGATGCCATTATGTATAGGCTTATGTAAATATTTTGGCCCATAAAACCGAATCACAGATTTGCAGAAAAACTGGAGACTATCTCGTGCGATCCTAGCAGATATCCTAAAACTTTCGTCTAACGCATCAGGCGGAATGCCATATGCTAACTGATGAAGTGCGACCGTACATTTTTGTAAGGGAGTGAAACCGGGTGTACCTCTAGCATCGTAACGTTGTTGGAAAAAAACTGCACTCCTCGTTACATCTTCAACTATACGTTCGAATAAACCTTTGAGCATTCTGAAACGCCTACGAAAATAATACCCTTGGTAAGTGACATTCTCTGCAAAATAGTCTTGCACCAAACGTTGGTTGGCTTATTCACGATTTCTGCAAATATATCTTCGTGTTCTCCGTTGAGTACTTACAGCTGCGTTGTTACATACAACTTTGTATGTTTGTTCCGCCATTTGAACATACGCAATAGCGATATCAAAAATAGTCTGAAATTCTTCAGAAGATGAAGAAGATAACATTTTTGAGAGAGTAGTGATTTTTAATTTTTTTTTGAGAGAGAAAAGATTGTGTTGTGAAAAAAAATGAAGTTGATATGTATATATATGAAAGAAAAAGCAAAAGCAAAAGAAAAAAAAAATAGTCAACAACTACCAGCAATCCTTCCCAATTCTTCTCAGCCAATCACAGAACACGGCTTTGAAGGACCGCACTACGGCCAAGACCACACCAAATCGCGGTCTGGGGGCGGTGTTCCAGGTCCATGTGGCACAAAGTGCGGTCTCGGACCGCACCCGTACCATGTAGTCTTAAAGACATTGAACGGTAGATATCCGTACCACTGCGCCTTGATTTCACCGGCAGCAAGATGCTCCAAAACAGTTATTTATGAAAAAGTTATTGAATTTTTTTCAAAGGAGGATAATTGTTTTCAATTAGAAGTAAACAAAACAAATTATGTATTATTTTGAATGAAATTTTAATTTATGTATTTTTGGAATAAAAATGTAAATTTATATATTTTTTTCTTATAGTTTTAAATCTTTCAAGTTTGAATATCTATTTTTTTTTTGTTAAATTACATATGTATCTAAAATCTTACGCCCGGACATGATAATATCTATCCATATCGCTTTTGATTTTTTCAACGAACGCTGCTAATAAGACACTCCTTAGACATCTCATTGACCATTTTTTAAAAAAATTAACCAATAATTAACTCTTTATAGTCAGCTTTTCCAGAAAACAATGTAATTTTATCCAATAAAAATATTTAAAAAATTAATTAAGATGTTCATATTGCAATATATGATGTTTTTTAGCCAATCTCTTTTTCCACACTTACTTTGGGGTTGGTCTAATCATCAAATTCCATGTTCACGTGCTACATTAATAGAAAGTTTATTGTTTTCCTCTTCAACAATTTTTGCTTCAATCATTTTTCTCAAATACAATATAATTAATGAAAAATAAAACTTATAAAAAACACGAATAATATAAATATGTATTAAAGAAAAAAAAACATAGTACATTTGAATGATTGTTCTCGTGTAAACCATTTTTGTGTAAAAAAAATCTGAAAAATATCAAATTATAAGTTACAAAATGATTTATTGAGAAATTTTCATATTAAAAAGAGGCAAGGGGACACACAGTAGCCAGTAGGGGCCAATAAGCTATTTATAATTGAATACTATTTTTATAATATAAACTAATTATCCCCGTACATTGAGAAATCAATATTTTTATATTTAATTTTCTCGTAAAAACAACTACTAGAATATTGATATAAATGTAGACAAATTACATGAATGGTCCCTATAGTTTAAAATAATTTTTAGGTTTGGTTCTTAATTTATTTTTTAATTTAAAGGTTTTTATTATTTATTTTTTGTTATGTGTTTGATCTTATCTTACCTAAAAGATTATTTTACTCTTGATTTTTATTTATTTATTTAAATAAACACATCTCAACCTCACTTTTTAACTTTATCATTTTTCTTTATTTACATAATAGTCTTTTAGTTAAGACATGACAAAACATGTAATAAAAACAATCAGTAGGAACTAAACACGTAACAAAAACAAAATAAAAACTTTCCAAATCAAAAAACAATAAATTAAGAACCAATCAATAGGGACCATTCATTATAGAGACCATTCATGTAATTTACTCAAATGTAGTGGCGCTTATAGAATGGTAGATATCTCCGGCAGCATCTGCTACCAGTGTCGCTCCGCCATTTGATCGGCAATATTCGCATCTGTCAACTCTACAACCACCCTTACTCTGCTAGCGCACAGCAATGTCGGCTTCCTCAGCTCCACCACCGCAGCAAAAACTCACCGCACCCTACGGTTCCTGGTCGTCCCCTATCACCTCCGACATCGTTTCCGGCGCTGGCAAGACTCTTGGAGGCACCGCCGTCGACTGTCTCGGCCACCTCTTTTGGCTCGAATCACGTCCTACTGAATCCGGGTATATTATCAGTTCATCAGTAAGACAGTAAGTTTAATTTAACACAAACCCCTTTTTGATTCCATTTAATCTTCTTCTTTTCAGACGCTCGGTTATAGTTAGAGGAGGTTCTGATGAAGATGAAGCTTCCGATATAACGCCGATTGACTTCTCAGTTCGCACAGTTGCTCAAGATTACGGTGGTGGTGATTTCTCAGTTTCAGGCGACACTGTAATTTTCTCGAATTACAAAGATCAAAGACTCTACAAGCAATCTACTCGTTCTCCTTCGCCACCTGTAGCACTTACCCCTGATTATGATGAACCTCTAGTCTGCTACGCTGATGGAGTTTTTGACAAAAGGTTTAATCGATATGTCACCATTAGAGAAGGTACATCTTTAATTCCATGTAATTAAGCTTATCAATTATGTGTCGTCTTGATGAATTCTAGCTTCATGGCAGATCGAAGAGAAAGTAGCAAAAACTCTGTAGCAACTATTGTAGCACTTGAACTCAATGATGAAACTATTCGAGGTATAGTTGATGTATGCATTTTCAATTTATAAACTTATTTAGACATTAACAATGGTTTCCATCATCTGATATGCAGATCCAAAAGTATTAGTAGGTGGAAATGATTTCTATGCATTTCCTAGATTAGATCATGAGGGAAAAAGAATGGCATGGATTGAGTGGAGCCACCCTAATATGCCATGGGATAGGTCCCAACTTTGGGTGGGATACATTTCCGAAAATGGGTAAAAAAATTGTAATTACAATTTTTTTTTAATTATTATTATGGGTAAAAAGTAAAGAATATTGGTTATATTGGTAAAAAGAATAAAGTAAATTGCTATTTTTCATAATTTTCCCTTGTATTAATTAAAGACATTATGTAGAGACGTGTACAAACGTGTATGTGTTGCGGGGGGTGATCCAACTATAATAGAATCTCCAACTGAACCAAAGTGGTCATATGAAGGTGATTATATCATATCTCTTTAATATTATTATATATCTTAAATATTTTATATATATTTGAAATAGACTTCTTTACATTATTGGGTTTTTAACATATGTTGTATATGTTAGGGGAATTGTTCTTTGTCACTGATAGGAATCTTGGATTTTGGAATATTCACAAATGGGTAATCTCCAATTATTTCCAGCATGAATTTTTTTTAGGCAAAATATTAACTTTATTTTTGCTAACAGGTTGAATCTGATAAGAAGGTGCTACCATTATATTCATTAGAGGCTGAATTCACAAGACCATCGTGGGTTTTTGGAATAAATTCGTACGAGATAATTAATGACCACAAAAACTTAATTGCATGTAGTTACAGGTAACTATAATATTGGTATGAAATATTAATAATTAATATTATTGTGTTAATTTAATCAGTTATTGGTGATCCTCAGGCACAAAGGAAAGTCGCATCTTGGAATTTTGGACACGAATAGGAACACATTATCCGTTCTTCAAACTCCTTTCACAGATCTAAGAAATATTGTAAATGAAATATTTTATCATGTAGTTTAACAATATTTGTTACTTTATACAATATTAAATTTTGAATATCTTTTGTAGACGTGTGGTCTACACTGCCTATACATTGAGGGTGCATCCGCTATTCATCCATTGTCGATAGCTAAGGTTGAATTTTATTAGTTTCATTAATGGCAAACTAATTAATACTATTAAATATCATATTCAAATCTGATCATAAATTTATTTTAACAGGTGACTTTAGATGAACAAGCATTAAAAGTTGTAGATTTTAAAATTGTTTGGTCTTCATCACCTACAAGTTCAAATTACAAGTCGTATTTTAGCACTCCAGAGTTTATCGAATTTCCAACACAAGTTTCTGGTGAGAAGGCGTATGCGTACTATTATCCCCCCACTAATCCAAAGTATCAAGCGAATCAAGAAGAAAAACCACCATTGTTATTGCAGACTCATGGTAATTAATATTATTATTATTATTATTATTATTATTTTTTTCTTACAATCATATTGTCATATATGTATATACGGTTTTATATTTCAAATTATGCAACAGGAGGACCTACAGATGAAGCACATGGAATCTTGAATCTAAATATTCAATTTTGGACTAGTCGTGGTTGGGCTTTTGTAGATGTGAATTATGGTGGAAGCACCGGTATGTTTTAACTTAACCCTAAACCCTAAACCCTAAAATGTGAATGATCATTGATTTGAAGGTTATGGTCGAAAGTTTCGTGAAAGACTTTTGAAGCAATGGGGTATAGTTGATGTCAACGACTCTTGCAGTTGTGCCCAATTTTTGGTGATTTTTTTCTCCCATAAGTTAATATATTATATATTATTTATAAGTCATACGTGTTAATTTTTCTGATTTTTTTTTTTTTTTTTGTATTTTTTATTTCTTTTTTACAGGTAGACAATGGAAAAGTAGATGGTGAAAGACTTTGCATCACGGGGGAGTCTGCTGGTGGTTACACAACATTGGCTACTCTTGCTTTTAAGAATACATTTAAGGCTGGATCTTCTTTGTATGGTGTAAGTATTCATGTCATTATGTATTTATGTTATAGGGTTAAATGCAAAAAACTTTCATTTATTGATTTATCATTACTAAATTCGTGTTATGGTAACAAACAGATAGCTGACTTGAAGTCGTTGAAAGAAGAAATTCCCAAGTTTGAGTCCTACTACATAGATAATCTTGTTGGTAAATATCTAAACTTATAAGCATTTATTCACATTTGGTAACAAAAAAAAAAAAAAAAAAAAAAAATTTGTACAAGAGATATAAATTGAACATCTACTAAATTGCAACAGGGAGTGAAAAAGATTTCTTTGAGAGGTCTCCTATTAATTATGTAGATCAGTTTTCTTGCCCTATCATACTCTTTCAAGGATTAGAAGACAAGGTAATTTCTGAATTTATTTTTGTAAAAAAATTTAGGATATTATTTTTTCCATTTAATTTGTGTTGTAGGTTGTATCCCCAGAGCAAGCAAAGAAAATATACAAAGCCTTGAAATCAAAAGGATTGCCTGTTGCGCTTGTGGAATATGAAGGAGAACAACATGGTTTTCGCATGGTAGATTAAAAAAAATAATGATCATAAAATTGTTTTAAAAATCATGAATTGGAACATTTTTTTAAACTTGTGACATGCAGGCTGAAAATATAAAATTTACACTTGAACAACAAATGGTGTTTTTCTCACGTTTGGTGGGACATTTTAAGGTGGCTGACGAATTCACACCCATAAAAATTGATAACTTCGACTAGAGGTTTGCATTTGTATTTTTATACTTTTTGTGATCTAATGGTTAGCCACGTGTATTAATATGATTGGCATTTCTTTTAAAACAGGTCCCACTAGTGAATTCGGTTGTTGGTAGGTATTGTTGGATGAATTTGGTTAACGGTTGTTGGTTAACTCCACTAAACATGGTCTAAGAGTGTCTCTTCAATGGTTAATTA